CACCCCTCTCTTAAAGGAGAACAGAAAACCCCTCCATGTTGATCAGCACAGGCCTGCTAGATCCGTCAAGCTTGTTTGCTAGATTTTGCTCCGAGTTGCCTGAAATAGCTGCGCACTCACTCTCTCTCGCTGTGTGGACACCTGTTTTCTTGTGAAGGCAGCTGCCGTTCTTGGGATCATCCTAAAACAATTGCCTTTATCACACGCAGTTGTTGCCACAAGCTCTGCCACAATCAATCAGTCCTGCTCTGCCACAGGAATAAATGTTAGGATAAATGGTTTCTATTAAAGTATGTGCTTTTAAAGGGCCAGCCAATGCAATCTTGTGTAATGAAAATCCGTCATCTATTCCAGGAGTTCCCCAACCTTTTTGCCAGCGACCCTCAAAATGACAATGCAGTGACTCGCGAGCCCCAATATCCTCTTAGGTGGTTATAAATACAGAAACCTTGCATGTAATGGCGCACACACACCATTAGACCAAAGTCTATTCTTCTCATAATTTTTTCTGTATGTCAGTGCTGTAAATGGGAGAGAAAGTTTAACCTGGTGTTATAAAATCAATCTGCTGCATCTGATGCTATTGCTGTGTCTTTAATATTATGTAATTGCCTCAGGGGTTGCAATTCAGTAGAACTAGTAACTATAAGCTAATATAGTAACTAAATAGTAACTATAAATGACTATTTTCTTTTCAGTGGGTTTTTGGATTAAATATAGTAATTTTTATGGTCTAATAAAAATAAATAGGTTTTTTGGAAATCACCAGGTGACCCCCCCCCCCCCTTCATTTTCCTGTGACCACCACTTTAAGAACCATTAATCTATTTCATTTGTCAAGGGTATGCTGAATTAAATTGAAATTAACGTTTTAGGAAACTGATTTCTGACTTGCTGTGTGTTTGTAATAGTCTTATCTTTCGCTTTCTGTTCAGAATAAAATGTTCCAGATTGTAAAATAAGACTAAGTACATTTCTGTTCTAGTGTTTAATTGAGTGGATAATGGAATAGGCAGTGTGACATTGTTATGTAATGTATGAATGGGCTTCTGCGTTGAGTCAGAATTAAAAACTCCCCACTTTGTCATTTTTTTCATGCTTTTCGTTGATTTCCATCACAAAAGATTGGATAATTAATCCTGCATAACTCGCAGAAGAGTGCTAACATTACCTATGATGACTTATTTGCGTCTCCTTTCATCCAGGACAGATAAAGAATTCCAGGGGGGCAAATCTATTGTTTTTTTTTTTTTTTGGTAAAGCTTTAAACATTTGCCCCTTACAATTTAGGAATTAAAGAGCTCCTATTATGGGTTTTTGAAAATGACCTTCCATGTAGTGTGTAACACAGCTCTAAGTGAAGTGAAATATCCAGCTAAGGCTTAAATCTGAAAGTGCACAATGTTTAAAACTTCTCTGTTTGATTTTACGGTGGGTTTCTTTTGACCGCACCCTGTTTTAGAGAATATCACAATGGCTAACGCAGCAAGTATAAAATCTGTCCGTTTCGCAAGGTGTGCGCGATATGTAACTCGTGAATTTGTTTTACATTTATTTACACCTTGTTGAACAATTTATGTTTGGCAAGGTGTATGGTTTTTCAAGTTACTTATAAAAAGAATGCTACTTCAGTCATATTGTTGTAAGGTTTTAAGTTGACTAGTCACACAATAAAAAAAAATCTAACTTGTGAATCGGTCAAACTTTATGAAAAAACCTAGATTTTTATTTTGTTTTTTTTGCCATATCGCTCAGTCCTAGTTTACAGATTGGTATTTTTCTGATCTCATAACTCTGTGGTTAGTTGTTTTGAAAAATTTAAACAGGTGTTTTAAATAGGGCTGTCAAAATTTGCGCTTTAATGCACGTGATTATTTTAAATATTTAACGCTTAAAAAAAAAATAAAACGCAAATAACGCAGGTGCAGTTTTTTTTAATTTTATTTCCTGTTGTGGCCAACGTGTGTTCAGGGACATTGCATGCATAGAGGCGACCGCCTTGGGAAGCAGAATAGTTAGCGAACCCCCCCCGGTCTTCACTTTCATCAACTACACCGCCCTGGCCTGGTTGGAAGAGGTGGGCCTGAGTGCGGTTCACTTGGGCTTTGGCTCGGTACGTTTGTAGTGTGAGTGCAAATCGCGCCAAAGCCTGAAACTGAAAGCGAGACGTGACTTTTAAGGGACTGTTTCATATGGATTAATTAATCATTCTTACTGTTCAGTGAACGCAAACTGTCGTAGTTTATTTAAGACGCAAACTCCTTACTGCAAGACAGCTGCACCTTCAGCAAACCTCCTCATTCCTGCAGCACGAGGGCTTTATGATTGTTTATGAGCGTCAAAAGTGGCGGATCTGTTCGGGGAATTATCTGACTGCGTGTCCCCGCATATTGAACGACTTAATTTAACTGATAAAGAAATCTCTGCTGTGCTGAGCGAGAGCGCTTCTCTACTGAACAGCGCATCATCGACGATGTAAGCTTGCCCAGGCTTGAATGTAGTGTGAGGGCCTATGCCATCCGTACCATGCCCAGGCCCGTTTCCTGGATCGTTTGAGAAGTGTGAGTGCGCTGAATCGGGCTCAAGCACGATTCACTTGGCCGGCCCTGTCCAGGTTGGAAGAGGTCGCCCTGAGCGCGGTTCACTTGGGCTTTGGCGCGGTACGTTTGTAGTGTGAGTGCAAATCGCTCCAAAGCCTGAAACTGAAAGCGAGACGTGACTTTTAAGGGACTGTTTCATATGGATTTATTAATCATTCTTACTGTTCAGTGAACGCAAACTGCCGTAGCTTATTAAATACGCAAACACCTCACTGCACGACAGCTGCGCGCCTTCAGCAGACCTCCTCATTCCTGCAGCACGAGGACTTTATGATTGTTTATGAGCGCCAAAAGTGGCGGATCTGTTCGGCGAAATATCTGACTACGCGTTCCCGCATCCCTAAGGACTGTTTGGCGAAATATTTGACGGCATATCAAACGACTTAAACGATATAACTAGAGAAATCTCCACTGTGCTGCTGAGTGAGAGAGCGCTTCACACTGAACAGCGCAGCAGCGATGACGTAAGCGTGCCCAGGCTTGATTGTGGTGTGAGTGCGGGCCGTCGGGGGAGACAGGAGGGGGGACAAGCGTGCTTTGGCCCGGTCGAGGCAACTGTACATAGTGTGAGTACGGCCTGAGTGCGGACCGTCGTGGGAGACGTGACGTGGGGCAAGCGTGCTTTGGCCTGGTTCAAGGCAACTGTACATAGTGTGAGTACGGCCTTAGAATCCAACATGGAAATCATTTTTGTTTGTTATCGATATTGATTGTTTTGAATTTCAAATGGCACCAACATATGCCTGTGCTTTTATTTCTGTGATAAATACGGCGTTTCGTGATTAATCATGATTAATTACAAAAAAAAAGTGTAATTAATTATGTAAATTTTTTTAATCATTTGACAGCCCTAATTTTAACATAATGTTAACACGGATACTTTCTCTGTGGATGTATGTTTTGTAGGGATGGGAAGATTAACCGATATGTATCGATACGCGGTCATGCGCGTGCACGATGCGAGTGCATCGGTTGAGCAGCAGAGGATGAATGAAATTTTGGAAGCAAATCGAGATGCATCGGTTTTTGCGAGATGCATCGATTTTTCCGAGATACAGCTTATATTTTTAATATAGAATGTATTTTTTATTTATTAACAAGTGTTGTCAACCTGTTTTTGGCGCATAATATAATCGACCTACATAAAGTAAGCCTTAGCAACGGATTTGCGGATGTGCACACACTACAACTCAGTGTATCAGGTGTGCGGATGAAGCTAGTGGAGCGCCCTCAGAAAGCGCGAGAAGCAAAACAAAAATTTTATTCCCCACTGAGTTTTAAATCTAAAGTATGGCAACATTATGGATTTAAGAATGGACGACTTGACAGGACAGATGCAATTTGCAAAATGTGCCGCGCATCTGTAAAATACGCGGGCAGTACGACTAATCTGAAATCTCACTTGAAGCGGCGCCACGGTGTTGTTGTGAAAGCATCTTCCAGTGTTCCTGCATCCCCGGCTTTCGCACTGCTTCAACCAGCTCCAAAAGTGGTGAGAAAAGCATTGCAAGTTTTTTTTCCGTGAGCATAAGTTCTGCTCGCTCTACGCCAATAACGAATGCTATTGCATTGTTCATCTGCAAAGATATTCAGCCTAGTGTCACGGAGAACGAAGGTTTTAAACACCTCCTTAATTTTTATTTAATTATAATAATAATAATATTAATAATAATAATGATAAAAATAATGGGTGTCACGGTAGTACAGTGGGTAGTTTGACCACCTCACAGCAAGAAGATTGCTGGTTTGTTATATTTTTATTAGCCTGTTGTTTACAGTGATGTTTCAAAGCAGCATAACACTGCTAGTTCACAACCTTAAGTTTTGAATAATCAGTGGCACAATATATCTTTGTAAAACTTGTTTTCATAGTTGAAAAGTTAAATCACAATTCTTGTTGTGCAATGCTAAATTTATTTATGTTGAAAGAGTGCAAATATATAGATACTTTTTTAATATATATTGCACTTATACATTCTGTTTATCTTGAAAATACTTAAATAATATGTGCTATAGGTTCTAAAATGGCGCTCTACTGTAAACTGACACTCTGGCTCTGAGAGAAAAGCCAGTTTGTAAAAAAAGTCTTGGTTTTGCTTGGTTAATAAATAATCAAACTCATTCAATGAAACAGCATCCTCTTTCACATAATCTCATAAACTTGATCTAATTAGTTAGTTCTGAAATATCGCATCGTATCGTGATATGGGTGTGAATCGTATCGTGTTGCATCGCAATATGTCACAAATGTATCGCTAATATATCGGATCGTATTCTTTGTATCGAGATGCGTATCGGATCGGCATTATAGCTTAGATGCCCAACCCTAATGTTTTGAGATTTCACTGCAAATGTCACGTCCATAACGCTGGAATTGCTCTTCTGTCTTTGTCTTTGCAGGAAATGCTAAAGCCTACATTCACTGCTGCCACTTTACCCGGAGGCACCAACACCATCAGCACCACCACACAGTCACCGGTCTCTTCCTCGCCCTCCTCATCCTCAGTGGCCATGCACACCCAGAGCAGCGGCCCCTCGCTCTCTGGCACCACCTGCTGGCCGGTGGCGGCGGGGATGAACGCTCAGAGCATCTCCAGCGCAAACGGCACCGTGCTCAAAAGTTCTTCAGCCGGCATGATGCAGCTGCCCAGCGGATTCACACTCATGCCAGGTGCGTTTGTTGTTTGTCTTCTCCCCCTTTCACTTATTCACTTTCCCAAGGGGTTGCATGAGGCACTGAAGCAGCCTGCATGACATCCTTTGTGTTTTATTGCACATGAACCTATTTGCTTGCTTGCATGCCAGCATACTTGAAATTCTGCTTCCAACTGATCCATCTGATCCTATTCACACCAAGAGCAGCTAAACAGATGATTTAAGTCAGAGGAACAGCCAAAGTATATGCATCTAGCTTTAGCAGCATACACATTTGTGTTAACCCTGTGATAAACATAATAGCAACATGCTAATTCATGTAAGCAATGTGCTAACATGGTTGCAACATGTTTAGTATTTAATAACATGAATCAACATCTTCAAAAAGTGAATTTAGCATGCTAATTCATTGTAGCAGCGCGCTAATTCATCTTAGCAAAGTATTAAATAGAAATTAGAAAATTGTTAGCATTAATTTTTAGTAATGTTTAAAGTGCTAGCACATTTATTCATGCTAGTAAAATGTTATTTATTAGACAAATGTTTTCAAATATGTTCATTTTAGCACCGTGTCAGAATGGTAGTAGCATGTTAATTCATGTTAGCATGTTAGAAACGTGTTAACGTGTAATTTATTGTAGCTAGCACGTTCAACATTTTGCAATTATGAATTAACATATTAGCAAAATGTTAACTTGTGCTAACTGTGCCAATTTTAAATAGTAAATATAAACATGCTAATAAATCCCAGTATGTCGTTAACATGTTAAAAATATACTAATTCATGCTAACAATGTATAAAACGTTACTGTTTATATTAGCTAAAGGTTGCTGATGCTAGAAACATGTTAACAGTGTCATAAACATGGTAGCAACATGTTCATTCATGCTAGCAAACTGTTCAATGTTAGAAACATGCAGCTGTAATTGTTAACTAAATCATCAAAAACATGTTAGCAACATAAAAAATGTATTACCTGCATGTTAATTTATGGGAGCAGCATGCAAATTCATCTTGACAATATATTAAATGAAATGGAAATTAGAAAATCGTTAGCATTAATTTCATTTAATGTGTTTAAAATGTTAGCATATTAATTCACGCAAGCCAAAAGTTATTTATTAGAAAAATGCAGAGTGACAAAATGGTAGTAGCATGTTAATTCATGTTAGCAAAATGTTAAACATGTTAGCATGTTATACATTGTACAGTAGCTAGCGTGACGTTTAAAATTTTGCAATTATGAATAGACATTAAAAACAGGTTAGTAAAATGTTAACTCATGCTAACTGTGCTAAGCAGTGTAGCAATGTTAAAAAGTAAACATGAACATGCTAATTAATCCCAATTTTGTTACTAGCATGTTTAAAATATAATAATTCATGCTAACGGTGTGTTAAACATTGCTGTTTATTTTAGCAAATGGTTCAATATATTAGAAACATGTTAACAGTGTCATAAACATGGTGGTAACATGTTCATTCATGCTAGCAAACTGTTTAATATTAGTAACATGCAGCTGTTAATGTTAACCAAATCGTTAAACATGTTAGCAACATACCAAATGTATTACGTGCATGTTAATTCATGATAGCAGCGTGCTAATTCATCTTAGCAAAGTATTAAATTAAATAGAAATTAGAAAACTGTTAGCGTTAATTTTTGTTAATGTGTTTAAAATGTTAGCACATCAATTCATGCTAGCGAAATGTTATTATTTAGAAACATTTTATCAAATAGGTTAATTTTAGCAAGGTGACAAAATGGTAGCAGCATGCTAGTTAATGGTTGAAAATGTTAGAAACATGTTAACGTAATGTATTGAAGCTAGCGAGACGTTTAACATTTTACAATTATGAATCAACATTAAAAGTATGTTAGCACAAGGTTAGCACAAGTTAACATTTTGCTGAGCATTTTAGTGATGTTAAAAAGTAAACTTGAACATGCTAATTGATCCCAATTTTGTTACTAGCATGTTAAAATAATAATTCATGCTAACGATGTGTTAAACATTTCTGTTTTATTAGCAAATGGTTGAATATATTATAAACCTGTTAGCAGTGTCATAAACATGGTAGCAACATATTCGTTCCTGCTAACAAATTGTTTAATGTTAGAAACATTATTAAAAACATGTTTATTCACGGAGCCACCTTTGCAACAACAAAGGTATTACCTGCAGATTTGTGTTAGGAAAATGTTAAACATTTTAGAAGTGTGCTAGCGTCATGTTTATTCATGGTAAATGCTAAATATTGTAACAACTTTTTAGCATTTTGCAATTATGAATCAAGATTAAAAGCATGTTAGCAAAACAACATGTTAAGTTATGTTAACAATGTGCTTAGCAATGTTAGAAAATGTCAAACATTAGAAACATGCAATTTATTCAAGCGTTACCGACATGTCAAAAACATAACTTCAAGCTAATGTTGTGCTAAATGTTGTTGTTGTTGTTTTTTTTTATATTAGCAGATTGTTAACATGATTCTAATTTATTAAACAATGTCATAAACATGGTAGTAACATGTTAGCAAAATGTTTAATGTTAGAAAAATGCAGCCGTTAACGTTATTCATGTTGACAATGTTGACAATAGTAGCAATGTTAGAAAATGGTAAACATTAGAAACATGCTTTGTTGTCAGCGTGTTACTAACCTAAAAACATTCATTCAAGCTAATTCAGGCTAACAATGTTCTAAATATTGTTGCCGTTTTAATATTAGCAGATTGTTAAATATATTACAAACATGTTAACGTTGTAAATATAGTAGTAACATGCTAGCATAATGTTTAATGTTAGATAAATGCAGCTGTTCACATTGTTCATGTTAACAAAATGTTTGCAACATGTTTATTCATGATACTACTGTGGTAACGTAAATATGTTAGCAGAAATTTTACTCACAATAGCCTCACGTTTAACGGTAGAAATGTTCATTCATGCCAGCTAAATGTTAAACGTTCCGAAAATGCTAGCAACGTTTATTAATTTATGTGAGCAACATGCGACTTCATGCTACCAATGTGCTCAGCATAGTAGCAATGTTAGAATATGGTAAACATTATGAACATGCTTTGTAGTCACAACGTGTTACTAACTTGTCAAAAACATTCATTCAAGCTAATTCAGGCTAGCAATGTGCGAAATATTGTTGCAGTTTTAATATTAGCAGATTGTTAAATATATTAGAAACATGTTAACGTCATAAACATAGTAGTAACCTGCTAGCATAATGTTTAATGTTAGTAAATTGCAGCTGTTCACGTTATTCATGTTTACAAAATGTAAACATGTTTATTCATGATACTACTGTGGTAACATAAATATGTTGGCAGAAATTTAGCTCCCATTAGCATCATGCCAGCTAAATGTTAAACATTTGAAAAATGCTAGCAACATGTTTATTAATTAATGTTAGCAAGCATACTGTTATGAAAAATGTTATTTAATCAGGACGTGTTGCCATCATGTCAAAATCATTAATAATCAATATGATCGATAGTTCATGCCAGCTAAATGTTAAATGTTAGCAACATGTTTATCAATTGATGTTAGCAACATGCTAATTCACGTTAACAACATGCTAAAAACAGTCAGTCATGTGAGCATTAGCTAAACCATGTCAGTATTGGTGTGAGTAGGCCTGTCGCTGTGTGTCCCGCAGGCGCTTCTCTTCCGCCGGGCACACACACTGTTCCTCTCAGTCAGCTGCAGACACACTCTCTGGCCATACAGTGTCCACAGACGCAGGCCAACAGCAGCGGCAGCACTGCTGTCCCCGCACACACACAACCCGCCGCGCTCTTCCGCCTGCCAGCCGCCGTCTCACTCACAGGTCAGTGCTGGACGATCTGCATGCTCAAGTTTTCTCTCTTTGTGTAAACTAACTAGGCCTGAACGCTTAATTGCATTTACAGCACTATTGCTATATATGTACTGATTTTTTTAGCGTCTGTGTGAAATAGGGCTGCACTATATTAGGCATGGGATGATAACTAGTTTCAAGGTTTACCATGGTTTGGAGAAGTCAAGGTTTTAAAACTGCTAAAGTTTTCTGTTACACTGTTCCTATGCTGTATGCTTTTTTTATGTATGTGTTTTTTTTTTACAAGTATTGTATTTAGCTTTTTAGTCCAACAGTATCTCCAGCAGAAAATGAGCCTCTACATCAGGGGTCACCAATCTCGTTCCTGGAGGTCCGTTGCCCTGCAGTGTTTAGCTCCAACTTGCCTCAACACACCTGCCTGGGTGTTTTAAGTATACCTAGTAAGACCTTGATTAGCTTGATCAGGTGTGTTTGATTAGGGTTGGAGCTCAAATCTGCTGGCCACCGGACCTCTATGAACAAGTTTGGTGACCCCTGCTGTACGTTAAAGGGCCATGAAACCCCCTCGTTTCAGCAGGGTGTTTTCACACCTCTACTTTGGAAAAAGTCAGAAAAGTGGGCGTGTCCAGCTCTGTTTAGGGGGGAGTGTCGGAGGAAGAAAAGAGGCTTGGTGTGGGAGTGTCTATTTGGGCGCGCTGAATTTCAGAGTCAAAACACACACACACAGGGGAGAAAGGGTTTACATGGACATCTGTAGTCGAATTATTTGCCAAATTATTAAATGGTGGACTTTAACTGCAGTTTGGCTCTTTCATTCAGGGAATTAATTCATGTCCCTCGCGACAAACAAGATATTTGATTCGAGGAACTGCTCTAAGCGTGTATTTTTCATGCAATGTTTGATACCGCACGGCGAATGAGAGAAAAAAAAACTCAGCATTTCCCGGAAACTTAGATGCACACAACAGGTATTTTCAGAAAGCCGCGTGTGTTATTCCGGTCACAAAATACGGTAAAAATCCTACACGAGGTTAAAGTTTGGTTGTGGTGCTAACATGTTTAAACTCGGTGCAATAGTTTGTTCGATACAAACAAACTGAATAAACAAAGAGCACTGGTCGCTCACTTACCAAATCTGTAGAGACGGGACGATCACCAGCAACTAGAGCCGCGTCTTTATTAAGAGAAGGCTACAAGCGAATCCGGATCTCAGCGTTTGCAGATGAGAACAGCTCTCAGGTAAACAATGTTCCTCCTTAGACACGTAAGTTATTGTTGTCGAGCGTCGCGTACACTGTTAATCCACACGTGACTCCAGCTACGCTCTCACAGAGAGAAAATGAAAACAAAATTTAACTGCAGCAAACTATAAAAGCAACACTTCACGCTTGTTTTGCCAACACAACGTGGCGTCTCTGCCGTCTAAACACTGTGACAGTAATGAATATTAATGAAGTTGCACAATAGAGCGCGCTGATTGGTTTGAACCAAGCTTTACTCATGCTTTAATGCAGCACACTGTAAGACGTAATAAGACACACTCTGGCTCAGACGTCCATTCTGCACGCTGGAATACAGGCTATTATGTCATGACCGTGACGCAGCTTCAAAAATTAGTTTCAAACCGGAAGTACGAATTTGCTTGAAATAACGCAAAAACAACCAATTTACACTTTTTAGTGAAATATAGGTGTCCTAATAGTGTTTTTAGCAGTGTGAAACACATATACCACTGTCAACAGCTCAAAAAATGTGTTTTGGTGTTTCGAAGAAGAACGTAATTTAGAGCAGTGATCGCAATATTGTGATACTGTGATATTTTATCCAAGGTTATCAGACTGTCAGAATCTTTTTCCAGCTCATCCTTACATGATATTGGAAAAAAAAACTGACCTTTTGATATTTTGTTTTAGTTTATTAAATGTTGATAGTCTATTTTATAAAAAAAAAAAAAAAAAAACGTTATTTCCTATTTATTTCAGTTAACTTAAATGGTTTTATCCAGTCACTGAGGATGTTTTCTGTCCTCTGTGCATCAGGTGGAGCGATGCCTCAACAGCTGCAAGCCATCCAGGTTCATCCCAGTCCTCAGAGCAGCGACAGCAGTCCTGAGATCAGCCAGACGTCCAGCAGCGCCACTGGTACAGACCTCCACACCCCCACACAGCAGACCTCATTAGACCAGTGCAGGGAACTTATGAATTTTGGAATTTTTGGAATTTCATGCAATTTTAAAAGGTCATTTCCCTACATTTCTAATGTAGGGAAATTTTTCGGTTCAGAGAATGCAAGGCGCGCCACACTTCCTTTTTAGTTGACAAAAAAAAGTATTGCACTGCACTTTTTATGTTGGTAGGCAACCACTGGATTGCAGCGTATTGTGAGCGAGTGCTGCTGCTGATATTGTTAAAATTGTAATATTTAATAATATTGTAATCGTTTTGCTTCAGATAACTTAAAATAGTGACCAATAGTCTCTCCTTTATCTTTAAGGGTGCTTTCACGCCTGTGAATGGATTTAGTTGTTCCGAAACAGGGATTAAAATTGTTACGTTGTTGCTCTTTGTTCTTGGTGCGGTTCGCTTTCACACGGCAAAGTTTCAAAACAGACAAAAGAGCTCATGTGTCTCAAAAGACACCAAAACAAGTCATGTGTAAGTAAACTCTCCTTAAATTGGTCAGAGTTTCAAGGTTTATTTTGCAGAGTCCTGCTCAGCTGTCATGCGTCCTTATTTTTAATTTGTGGCGATGAGCAATACGACATTACTGCCATTATATTATATGCCATTATATACATGACATTATATTTTCATTACTGCGAAGCTGCCCTTTCATTTTGAATAGTGACGCCCACAGACTTCATCTACTATATAGCATTTGAAATAGTCGCCTCTCAACGCAAATAGGGCATTTGGTGTGATCAAGGCCTAAGACAGGGAATTTCTATATATGAATGAACTCTTTGAATTTCTAGTTGATCTGAGTATTCAGTGAGCATATCTGTTATGTATTGAGGTCCTAGGCCATTTAGTGGTTTATAGACCAGTAATAATGCTTTAAACTCTATTCTGAATGTAACTGGGAGCCAGTGTAAAGACCTGAGGACAGGTGTGATGTGCTCTGATGAGCTGCAACTGTCTGACTGTCTTTTTGGGATGGCCAGTGAGGAGTCCATTGCAGTAATCCACCCTGCTGCTGATAAAAGCATCACCAAGTTTCACACTTGGAACAGAGCAACTAATTCTTGCAATGTTTTTTTGAGATGATAGTATGCTGATTTAATTACTTTGACATGACTGCTGAAATTCACATCTGACTCAGGAATCACACCTGGACCATAAGCTGCAATACCATCACGGCCCACTGGGGGCGCACATTCTTAAAACCACTGCACTTTGTCTTAAATATGCTTTCTATGTGTGTTCAGCTAGCCACACCGCGACTATAGTCACGTCCTCAGTGCCTTCTTCAGTGGCCGGACACATGATGTACCCTGGAGCTCACGTCATGTACGCCACCTCCACCCCCGCCCTTACTGACGGAGGTCTGACTGTGCTCAGCGCCTTCCCACAACCCCCCAGTGCAATGCATGTGTCGCACACACCGAATCAGGACTCAGGTCAGTTCCACAGCCGCACACACTAGACACTAATGTATGTATGTATGTATGTATGTGTGTGTGTGTGTGTGTATAAATTTATATACATATAAGTGTGTATGTGTGTGTTTGCGTGTGTGTGTGTGTATGTGTGATTGTGTGTGTGTATATATTTATTTATTTTTAATAATATAATAATATATTTAATAATTTTAATAATATAATTTATATATGAGTCCTTTAAATAAAATTTCATCTTCTTTCTGATGCATCTACGTGCCTAAATGAACTGCTGAATGATTGGCTGATCAGATATTTGCTTGACCAAGCCGTTGAACTCATGTGCCTAATAATGTGGTCATTAAATTTGCATTGTTAAAAGGTAGAAAGTGAATGGTTTTGTGTGTTGTTTTGTACATGTTTAGGTGGAGTTCCTCAGATGTTCCTCACAGGACCTCCTGGCACTGTACAGATCCCAGTTTCAGCCGTTCCCCTTCATTCGGTAATAAAGTGAACCTGTTCATGTGTAGACGCATTGGATTGTTATTTCTTTAAAAAAAAAAAAGAAATGTGATGAAATATTTTAGATAATTTTGTTATATAGAGCTATGGGGATCCCTGATCCCTGATAGTCAGATGTGGAGCTTACATTAATCAGATTCACTCTAGTGAACTGCATCCATGTTAGCACGTTGCGTTTGATGTTGTAGATTCACAGCAGGTAATCAGTAAATGCCCAATGCAATCTGATTCAGAAATATATACAGTGGTGGAATTAAGTATTGAACACATCACTGTGTTTCTCAGAAAACCTATTTCCTAAGGTGCTGTTGACTTGAATGTTTTACCCAATGTTGATAACAACCAAAGAAATGCACATATGCAAAGAAAACAAGTCTAATTAATTCACAAATGAACTAATGCATAACAAAATGAAATGACGCAGAGAAGAAGTATTTTACACATGAAGAAAGGAAGGTGTGCAAAGGCAGCGAAAGCCCAGACAGCAGTTGAAATCTCTCAGTAGTTCTACAGCAACCCTCCGCCCTTCCTCAGTGTAAATGAATATTAGTTGCTTTACTCCAACATCTACATTAGCAGGAGGATGAAGATGAAACCAGGTGGACATTTCAGCAAGACAATGATCCCAAACACAGCCAAGGAGACTCTCGGATGCTTTCAGAGAAAGAAAATCAAGCCGTAGAATGGCCCAGCCAATCACCTGACTTAAATCCAATAGAGAATACAGAATAAAGCTCAGATTTAATAGACTAGACCAGGGGTCGGCAACCCAAAATGTTGAAAGAGCCATATTGGACCAAAAAAAACAAAAACAAATATGTCTGGAGCCGCAAAAAATTAAAGGCTTTATATAAGCATTATAATGATGGCAACACATGCTATATGTATTTATATTAGCTATATTAGCCTACTAAAAAAATGACTTCGTTGGCTACAAATACATACTGAGCCTTCATGATTAAATGTTCATTTCCCTGCAGTGCATCCTGTAGAGAATGACGTGCCACGTGACTACTCTGTTGTACGATGCCGTCTCAAGTTTAACTTAATTACAGTATATTAATGAATTATGTTTAATGTTCAAGTTTAACTTCATTACAATATTAATGAATTGTTTAATGATCAAGTTTAACTTCATTACAATATTAATGCATTATGTTTAATTATCAAGTTTAACTTCATTACAATATTAATGCATTATGTTTAATGATCAAGTTTAACTTCATTAAAATATTAATGAAATATGTTTAATGACCAAGTTTAACTTCATTACAATATTAATGAAGTATGTTTAATGATCAAGTTTAACTTCATTACAATATTATTGCATTATGTTTTGCTTTGATGAAATTAAAGAAATGCAATAAAGAAATCAGATTTTTTAATGTTTTTTTTATTTTGAGGATTCAAAAAAACAACATCAAAATGAATGTGCACAACGTGCCCCTTATCTGGACAACAAACAGTGCAATAAAACGCAGTCTGCCATTTCCATTTCAAGATCAGCTTGAGTCATTCCTGGGAATGTGCTCAACAAGGAAGGGTCAATCTCCAGGGGTGTGTGTCAAGGAAAGACAGTCTCGTTTTTTCCTTTCGCAACTCACAAAATCTGCTCCCAAATGCAGTTTGCATATCAACGATCGCACCTTGTAAATAATCACCGTTGAGTGAGTGATCGGGATGGGCTTCTTTGAATTCTCTCAGGGAGGGAAAATGAGAAAGCGTGCCCCGCTGTACATCTTTGGCAAAGACAGCTTGCGCTCCATGGCGCATCACACAGCCGCCGGTTTGTTTACAACAGCTACCTGCCTGGCATCCCGTCCTGCTGATAGAAACGTGTGTCGCATTCTATGACGCAAATCTTCGTTGACAGAAATGTTGAAATTAAATATTCTATACACTTTTACAGCGTTGGAAAACGTTAAGATTGTTTGTCCTCCTATAGAAACCATATTAAAACAAAAAATATATTTACCTCCCTCATCGTTTTCCATTTTCAAACATTTTTTGAAAAAGTTTCAGGGAGCCACTAGGGCAGCGCTAAAGAGCCGCATGCGGCTCTAGAGCCGCGGGTTGCCGACCCCTGGACTAGACCCACAGAAGCATCAAGATTTTGACACTGTTAAAGTCTGTGAGAAACTCTCAGATAGATAGATAGACCGACAGACAGACATACCGACAGACAGACAGACAGACAGACAGACAGACAGACAGACAGACAGACTGATTGATTGATTGATTTGATAGATAGATAGATAGATAGATAGATAGATAGATAGATAGATAGATAGATAGATAGATAGATAGATAGATAGATAGATAGATAGATAGATAGATAGATAGATAGATAGATTGATTGATTGATTGATTGATTGATTGATTGATTTTTTTTGGTGCACAAAAGTGTTTTTAGAGCTTCTAATGATTCCACAGAAGTCATGGACTGCTTTGATAATGTTTTTTGGTTCCTTTCCTGGACTTTGAATGAGTCAGGACCATCAATGCAGGATGTGAGAGCTCCAGGATTTCATTTATAATATCTTAATTTGTGTTTTAAAGATGGTCCCAGCGGTTAAAACGAGATGATTAGTAACAGAAATTTAATTTTTAAGTGAACGAAGTATTGAAGAATTTTTTGTTCTCAGTTGTTTTGTTGATGATGAGCGCTGTTTATTCACGGATGCTCTTGTTTGTGCTCTTTCAGATGTTAATAAACCAGCAGCCCTCTGGCAGCAGCAGTAGCACCCTCACCGAGCTGCGCGTGGTCAATCTGGACAATCCCAAAGGAGACTGACCCCCCGCAAAAAAACACTGACGCTCCAGGGCTCACTCATGCCATCCAATCAGACTGCCATCATATTTATTACTGCCTTCTCTCCGCGTGAGGTTTGAGAATAAAGAGCTGTAACAGGACATCTGAAGGATCATCGCAGCTCCTCATTTCGGTGGCGGGTGTGATTTTTAATGGATCGCTGTTGTTTTTTTGTTCACATTTATACACAGACACGCATTTGTACTTCAGGATTTCATACAGACGACACACAATCGCTGCTGGATGTTCACCTATTTGGGCCGGATAATTCGATTGCTCATTTTGAGTAAATATTTGCGCTTTTTGTTTTCGTTTTTTGGAAGAATTGGCAACTTTCACCCTTCAATGCGGCTCTGATTTGTGTTATTTATCATCAAGAATATGATCAATGATTATCTTTGAATGCTTGAACGGAGTTTTTATTGTCCAACTTTCTTTACATGCAAATCAATGGAGACTGACGCTGTCAAACTCGAAACGTACCATAAAACTGGTACCTTTTCTAAAAAGTCGATGCTTTTTTTCTGCTAGATTTCGAGCTGAACTGCATCCGCACCAATTTATAACCATTTTGAACCGAGCAGGGCGAGAAAACGGCGCCCTTAAAGTGATGCTGGATACTCTTGCACTGCCTTCAACATTCAATAGGAGGTCATTACTCCTCATTTCTCACCCTCATCCGGTTTTATATGGCCTCAATATGAAGTTAAAATATCCTTTTGATTTCACCGTGCTGCTGTAATTGGATTCATACTAAAGTATCGCATGTCATTCCATGTTTTAATGCTGTGCCAAACTATACTGTATTGATAAATCGATGATAAAGTCAATGTATCTGCTTCGAGGCTTCACACAACACATGCTTTAGCCACTTTTTAACAATGCTGTACCCAGAAAAACACTGACTTGCGTTTGCACTGCATGAAAACCGCGGGTGAATAAATACATGCGGTTGGGTTGAGCGTTTTTTTTTTTTTTTCACTGCTTTATGACATTAGTTAACCAAAATATTAAAATTGCGTGAATCTAGGTACTAGAATGGCAGATTTAGTTCGAAACAACTGTTATTTTCATTGAATTAGTTTATATGCGCACCGACATGTTAACATTAATAGATTTTCTTGTTATTTTTAATCACCGTACCCTTAATTATGTATCTATATTATTTGGATTTTAAAGCATCCAAAGGGCTGTAAAATCTTGACGGCGTTTGCTGATAAATGCGAGTGATTCAGATCTCTTTTTTTTTTTTTTTTTTTTTTTTTTTTTTTTTTATCCGGAGACGTCCATGGGCCTCGCCTGTACATTCGTTGTGCAAATTTGGACCATAAAGCCTTGTTTTCTAGTACTGTTCAACGGATTTCAATGGACCACAGCAATATTGAAAGTTTCAGGAATGGTTTTGTCTTCGTTACATGGACCTGCACAAGTGGGAAAAAAAAAGGGCGTGTGGGATTTATAAAGCGGCCAGAACAAAAAGTGTTTGATTGTTTTATTCAGTATTAATGCGTTTTAAATCCAGGGGAAGACTTTCTTGAGTTGTGGATTTCCATTATTATTGTCCAGGTCACATTTCACTCGGCCAAAATTGAAAACATATGCATGTTTTGTGACAAGTAAACGTGTTTTTGCTCATTTCTGCTAGCCGAAAGACTAAGATCAAATTGTAATTGAAAAATTTGCTGTTTCAGTAACATAATTTAAATGAATTTGATGTATTTGTTTGTGAAAGGCGATTGGCGATTTTTATTTATTATATTGCACAATTGATAGTTCATAGTCTTTCTGAGAAAAACGTTTAAATTGTGCGATGTAAACTTGCATTTCACAAGTAAAAATGTACATTTGGCCGTTTCATGTCTGAAGAAAGTTTTTGGCCATTTCGTATCAATTTAGTGTGTTTTTTTGTACAGTTTTGTACAAACAGGATGCTACGAAGTAGCCTCTAATTTGCCAAAATGTTAAATTCTTTGGATATCTTGCAATACTTATGAATTTTTAGTTTTTAATTTAAAATTGCATGACGAAAAAGTCTCAATTCTAATCACAATTCAAGTCGGAAATTAAAACACGACAACAAGTTTGATTCGTAAGATAAAAATGAAAATATGAGAAAGTCGCAATCATTTATTTTTCATGGCAGAATTGACATTGTGTTTCTGCAAAATTTTTAAATCTTTTACGTGTTTTTTGTGAATTAGTGGCTATTTTGTATTCATTTATACAATTGTGTTTTTGTACAATTTTCTCATGCCAAGATACTGCAAATATGCATATCAATGAAATTAGCCTCTAATTACTTTGCAATTACTAATTACTAAAATACTTTGCGATGTTTTTTTCAGAACTGCACATAGAATTTTTAGCTTAAAAAAAGCAACATACAAAGTCTCACGAAAAAAAAGTGAATTAAAATGTTAACTCGCAATTGTGAGAAAAACGTGAAAATCTGTAAAGAAAAAAATGTTGAATCCTAAAATGTGAACTTGAATTTATGAGCCAGAATTAGAGAAATTAAGAAAGTCACAATTATTTATCAGAAATAACAACTTGCAAAATACAACTAATGAAAATCTAATGCGAAATTTATGCAAGGATTACTATTGAATTATTTCGTAAGTATTTTTGCTAACTAGTGGCTATTTCATATCGCCTTATACAATCTTATTTGTGTTTTGTATGGTTTGCTTATTACTGCAAAAACACATACAAATGCAATGTTATGATAATTGCAAAATATTTATCTGATGAAAGTCTTTATTCAAAATTTCTGGAACATTTTCTGGGAATTTAAATGAATTCGTAAGTGTTTTTGCCAATTAATGGCTATTTCATATCAATTTATTCAATCCTATTGTATAAAGATGTTATGTCTTGGCGATGTTACGATTTAGCCTCAATTGCCAAAATGTTAAACACTTGCATATCTCACACCTTTTTTTTCCAGAACCCTATATCTTGCAATTTTAAAATGGTTAAAAATTCACAATTCAAAGTCTCAATCCTGCCATTGCGACAGAAACATGAAGTTTGATTTGTAAGATGTAAACTTGCGTTCATGGGTAAAAATGAGGGGGAAAAAATGTACGTTTGAAACTTCCGAAACATACATTGAAATTATGGGACATTTCTGCAAGGATTTCAGTTGAATTAAATCGTTCATAAATATTTACAATTATACAATTAGCAGAAAATTGCATTTTTTTTTCATGGCACAAACACTTTTTGAAACAATAAGGAAATATAGGTCTGACGAAAATCTTTGACATTTTTGCGACATTTTCTATTGAATTAAATGAATTCATAAATATTTTTAGCAAATTAGTGGCTATTTCATATAAATTTTCTTATTTCTGTTTATTTCAGTTTTCTAATGCCAGGTTACATCAAAAATGTATATAATTGTGATGTTACGAATTCGCCTCTAATTTCCACAAATTTAAAAAACTTTCATATCTCGCAATTAGTTTTTTTTTAACTTCGAATTGTTAGTTTTTAACTTTCAAAATGGCAAATTAAATAGTTTTGAAGTATTTTTGCAAATTAGAGTTTACTTTGTATACAATTTGCAGGAAGTTGTTTCTCAGCAGAAAAAAACTTACAATGGAAATAATTCGGAAATACAGGTCAGACGAAAAAATCATTCGAAATTTCTGCAACAATTTCATTTGAATTAAATTAATTCATAAATATTTGGATAAATTAGTGGCTGTTTTATATCAACTTATACGATCTTATTTGTGTTTATTACAGTTGCTGAAAAGTTCCATTTAAATGCGATGTTATGAATTCGCCTCAAAATTTCCAAAATGTTAAACTCTTGCATATCGTGAAAGTTTGAATCGTAAGATGTATACTTGCCTTCATGGTTTCAAATGACAGAAAGTTGCAAGTTTTTTTTTTGTTTAACGGCAAAAAAAAGAGTACATTTCGAACAATTCTGAAACGCATGTCTTAACGAAAATCGTTCTTATTCTCAATTTCTACAACAATTTGAAAAAATTTAATACTTATTCAATTGGAACAATCTTATTTATTACAGTTTGATCTGATGCCAGGTTACAGCAAAAATGTGTACAAAACTATGTTGCGAATTCACTTTAATTTGCCAAAACATTAAATATTCACGTTCTCTTGTGACGAATAGTTGGATCATTGTTTTGTATTGCTTTGTTTTGAGTGAAATATGACCTGGATGCCTCAGTCTTTTTTTAATCGACTGTTATAGTGTGAAATTGTCTAAACACTAGAAGAAAGTGTTGAATGTACCGTACCTTTATTGTACATAACTTGATTTCGTACGTAAGGATCTGTAAGTAGCTCACGCGGCTGCATTTGAAATAAATGAAAACAAAACATTTGGATATATTCAGTGGACTGTATATTAGTTTTAATGTGAAGCGCCGACATTTGTCAGCGCTTTTTCTTTTACCTTTATCACAGTGTAACGAGTTGTGGTTGAAATGTTTGCTTTATTATTATGTTTTATTATTATGATTATCTTCTACAGTGCCATTTTCTGAAGAATTAGGTTGGTTTTGTTAGATGGTTGGTTTGTTTTTTGTATCACATGCTGGTTTATTCGTTTGATTTTACGACTTAAGTTGACAATACGAAAAAAAATTCAAGTGAAAAACTACTTTAACCACTAAAGCATATTTGTTGTTAAAGAAATGCTGTAATTATGTATAGAGCTTTCTTTTGGAATAAAAGAAAGATTTGAGAATAAATTTACGCCTGTTTGAACTTGTGAATCGTGCATTTTGAAATATTAAAAATTACTTTGAATTGTCAAATTTGTCACTTTACTACACTACACATTCATTACGATGAATAGTATGCAAATATTCATGATTATAGTTAGCAGAATTTGAAGACTGCATCCAAAAATGCATGACTTTACATTTAGCAATCGTATTCTAACACGCACTACCTGACAAATGTCTTGTCATCGATCTCAGTTGTAAGGTGCTCCTGGATTGGCCTGACCAGTCAGCAGAGATGAACATTAATTAGCATGTCTGGGGTAAGATGGAGGAGGCATGGAAGATGAACACAAAGAATCTTGATGAACTCTGCAAGAACGCTTTCTTTGCCATTCCAGATGACTTTATTAATCAGTGATTTGAGTCATTGCAGAGATGTATGGATGCAGTCCTCCAAGCTCATGATGGAGTCAGGCACAATATTCATTCTGTCTCCACTGCAGCATGACTTTATATTCTATACTGGATATTATTTCTGTTCAGTGACAAGACTTTAGTCTAAGCAAAGTCAGACCCCACTGTCTAGCCACACCCTAGCAACCACTTACGGCACCCTAGCAACTGTCCCATAGACTTCCATTATAAAAAAAAAAACTGCCATTGACTTTACATTGGACATACTAACATCCATATTAACAATATACTAATCCATACTCGAAACATACTAACAAGATGCTAATTCATAATAGAAACATACTAACAACATACCAATCCATACTAACAACATGCTAATCCATAACAGAAACATCTTACAAACATACTAACAACATGCTAATCCATAACAGAAACATCTTACAAACATACTAACAACATGCTAATCCATAACAGAAACATCTTACAAACATACTAACAACATGCTAATCCATAACAGAAACATCTTACAAACATACTAACAACATGCTAATCCATAACAGAAACATCTTACAAACATACTAACAACATGCTAATCCATAACAGAAACATACTAACAACATACCAATCCATACGAACAACATGCTAATCCATAATAAAAACATACTACAAACATACCAACAACATACCAATCCATACCAACAACATGCTAATCCATTATAAAAACTTACTACAAACATACAACATGCTAATCCATAATAAAAACATACTACAAACATACTAACAACATGCTAACCCATAACAGAAACATCTTACAAACATACTAACAACATGCTAATCCATAACAGAAACATCTTACAAACATACTAACAACATGCTAATCCATAACAGAAACATCTTACAAACATACTAACAACATGCTAATCCATAACAGAAACATCTTACAAACATACTAACAACATGCTAATCCATAACAGAAACATACTAACAACATACCAATCCATACGAACAACATGCTAATCCATCATAAAAACATACTACAAACATACCAACAACATACCAATCCATACCAACAACATGCTAATCCATTATAAAAACTTACTACAAACATACAACATGCTAATCCATAATAAAAACATACTACAAACATACTAACAACATGCTAATCCATAATAGTAACATGCTACAAACATACTAACAACACATCAATCCATACTAACAATATACTAGAAACATACTACAAACATACTAACAACACATCAATCCATACTAACAACTTACTAGAAACTTACTACAAACATACTAACAACACACCAATCCATATTAACAATATACTAATCTATACTACAAACATACTAACAACATACTAATCCATACTAACAATATACTAGAAACATACTAACAACATACCAATCCATACTAACAATATACTACAAACATACTAACAACACACCAATCCATACTAACAATATACTACAAACATACTAACAACATACCAATCCATACTAACAATATACTACAAACATACTAACAACACACCAATCCATACTAACAATATACTACAAACATACTAACAACATACCAGTCCATACTAACAATATACTACAAACATACTAACAACATACCAATCCATACTAACAATATACTACAAACATACTAACAACATACCAATCCATACTAACAATATACTACAAACATACTAACAATATACTACAAACATACTAACAACATACCAATCCATACTAACAATATACTACAAACATACTAACAACACACCAATCCATACTAACAATATACTACAAACATACTAACAACATACCAATCCATACTAACAATATACTACAAACATACTAACAACACACCAATCCATACTAACAATATACTACAAACATACTAACAACATACCAGTCCATACTAACAATATACTACAAACATACTAACAACATACCAATCCATACTAACAATATACTACAAACATACTAACAACATACCAATCCATACTAACAATATACTACAAACATACTAACAATATACTACAAACATACTAACAACATACCAATCCATACTAACAATATACTACAAACGTACTAACAACATACCAATCCATACTAACAATATACTACAAACATACTAACAACATACCAATCCATACTAACAATATACTACAAACATACTAACAACATACCAATCCATACTAACAATATACTACAAACATACTAACAATATACTACAAACATACTAACAACATACCAATCCATACTAACAATATACTAGAAACATACTAACGACATACCAATCCATACTAACAATATACTATAAACATACTACAAACATACTAACAACACGCCAATCCATATTAACAATATACTAATCTAAACTAGAAACATACTAACAACATACCAATATAATAACAATATACTACAAACATACTAACAACATACCAATCCATACTAACAATATACTAATCCATACTAGAAACATACCAATCTATACTACCTGCATACTAATCCATACAACTAACATACTAACAACATACCAATTTATACAAACAATATACTAGAAACATACGAACAACATACCAATCCATACTAACAATACACTAATCCATACTAACAATGTACTAAACCTTACTAACAAACACACTAACAATATACCAGTCCATACTAGAAACATCCTAACCCCTATCAACCTCCCAGCAAGAAACATGTTAAAATACATGTAGTTATCTCTCTATGCCAACTGTTTCACACTTCTTGAAAACTACTTCAATGATTTCAACTTTAAAACTAACTCAAACGTTCAGGCTCGACTTTCTTAAGCCACCATAAGGTTTGTCTACCAACTTTACCATTCATATTAAACACTGATATTGTATATAAGTAGGCCCACATTTCCAACTCTTTTTTACAATTGATCAAAGGGGGGTTTATGTTCAGTAAATCTACATTTATGTGTGAAACTTTCCAACAAATAACTTGTATTTATATGCTCGTTGATAATAATGTCGGTCAATCACGGTGTGTGCAATCCGCGACTGTGCGCTAGAGGGCGCTGTGTGTCGTTTATGAACGTGTGTGTTTGTTGGATCACTGTTGACATTCTGGCCTGCCAAACGATATGAGGTCGCACTAAGCAGTTTGAAGCCTATAATTTCCCTCTACTGTAATGTCATTGGGGGTTTATTATATTCCCGGACATCTTCCAATGTAATGGTAAGTCGCAGATTCTTCCTGCAGGTCTGATTTTTAATCTAGCAGTCGGTGCGTTTGGATGATACTTTACTGCTATGTCGGATTGTGGTCGTTTCCTCCTCCTTTTCTGCATGACATTGCTAATAGTGATATGTTTATGATGTTTTTGCCGTGTATTCGTTGTGTAATGTGCTGTAGATTGAACGCAGGTCGTTTATAGTTACGCTAAAGTACATCCGTTGTGTTTACAGTTAACGTTAGCTAGCGTTGCTAACATACAATCACAAGCCAGTGTTGATTCGCACGATTATAACTCATTTCTGGGCGGTTTTAGTTAAAGTTAAGTTAAATTAAAGCATATAAGTCACGAATTGAGTGTATTTTTTGCAAGTTTTTGTGGCTGACAGTTTAATTTGTTTGCATTCCGATGCCTGTAACGTTACGTGATGCTGCAGAATAATAGTAATTATAAAAGTTTTGACCTCAGTTGAGAGATTTAGGCATTAAGATGATTTTTAAAACTATAAAATAGCCGTAATTTTATTTAATTCGTGTTATTAAAGGGTTTGGTAGCTATGTCAAACTGTACTTTCTTCAAAAGTCAAAACTGTGATCAAAAACTACATCAACGTAATGCATTTGAGGATAAATACAACAGTTGTAAATATAAACAACAATAGATCGCTTTTAGATGATTTTGGCCCTCCTCCCATCAAAACACAAATATTTTTAATCCTTAAAAGTATTTTTTACTTGTATTTACAGTGTAGTTTAAAAATATCATAGATATTATAATTTACTAGAACTTCTATGATGAGCTGCTTTGATAAAATCTACATTGTAAAAGCGCATGAGAAATACACATGAATTGAATGAGATTGAGTAAATAGTATTTGATAGTGGTGTAACGGATCACTTTATTTTTTTAGCTTGTTTTTGTAGTTTTTTCATTGCTAGATCATCATCATTTGTGAAGAATTATTCAGTGACATATTTTTGATGGCTGATTGTCGCCACCTACTGGTTAAATAACGTAATTGCTGCCTACAACTTTAATATTTGAGCGTCAAGTTAAGTGCATATGATGGTGATTTTAATCTTTACCACAAACATCAGTGGCATTATCGAAACTATAAACTCTTATCCCAGTACTGCTGTGTTATTTGACTGTAAACTGAACGTCTTCACTCTTTCTTGATTTTTGCGTTTTCAGATTTGAATGCAGAGATTAGAAGGATTGATAAATATATGCAAATCACCATCATTTATAATTTATGTTGTGTGGGTGTTGAGATCCCGATCTTTTAATGACTAATTGTGCAGCTTACACTGAATGCATTAATGCAGGCTAAACAAGTAGTGACAGAAAACACCTTTAAGAAACCCACCACATCCCGAATAACCCACCACAACTTCTTCTGTCATCATTAAGTTTTTACAGGAAAGTCTAATAGAGGTAAAGTTGGTTTTATATTCACACATTCGTTCATTTAGAAGTGTCTATATTGTTTACCATGTTATTTTGAATATTCAATCTGAATTAGCATGCAAGTGTGACTTGAAAACAAAATTAACACTGTTTATTTGACTTTTAACAATGTTGTACTTTGGTAGTCATTGGCTGCTAATATCATTTCGCTATTTAGAGTTTGCAAATAATACTTTTATGAAATTATATTATTAAGGGGAAAGTTTGAATGTGCGAATATAAAACCAACTTTACCTCTATGAAAGCCTAAATGTTTTCATGCATGTGATTTGAATGACACGAGAGGCGATCTCTCTGCAATCGTTATAAATTTAGGATTCATCTATAAGTAAAAGCAAAAAAAAAAAAAGTATTAATCCGCGTGTCACGAGTGTTCAGTGAACCGTGGGTTGTGATCCGCATGAATCACGGATCAACCGTAATGCATTACACTCCTAGTATTTATCACCGTTTTTTTTTTATATCAGAGTCTTAATATTACTGTTTTTGATTAGCGAAAATAGAGTGGAAAGACATCAGAACCCTGATCTCCCTTGAGATTGTTTAGTTTATTAGTTTTGAGTTATTTTAGAAACTAAAGTCTGTGCTAAACATAACTTGAAAACAGTTTTACTAAACGATGTAAATTAGACACCTGTATCAAAAACATGAATTCTGAAAAAGTTGTTTGATAAAACGTTTCTGATGAGTAACTCGATAAAAATGTTCGGGGTGAAAGTCTGTGCAGTTTAAGTTTTGTACAACACATGAAAACACAGTTTAAAGTTCTGTATGTGAGTTTTTGACTTCTCTAAAGCATAAAAACACTATAATATGTTTGCAGATATTTCAGAAACATGCTCAGTGAACATTCTTTATCTGAAAAACAAAGCTGAAGTCAGATTTTCTGCTTTAAAAATGTGCGTTATGTGCTGGAACATCTGTTTTGTTTTGGTAATTTTAACCCGCCCAATGCTGTTTTAATTGTTGCCACCTATTGGCTTAACTTTGGAATTGCTGCAGCCTTCATATAGAGCAGGGGTGGCCAACCAATGACTGTAAAAAATATGGACGACGCGACAGCCCTTTTTCCCATTGAACGCCTTGAGGGCAAAACGCCTGCTTGACGGGCACAAACTGTCGCAAAAGACTGCTGAAATTGGAGCCTTGACATGCGCAGAAGGACTGTCTGATGGAGCCAGAGGAGGAGCCGCGAAAATGAGCAGAGTCGAGCTTCCAATCAATCGCTTTATGTAAAATCAACCACGCCCCCCGAACTTCTCAGCATGCGTTTGCTGTCATATCAACACAAATGGATGTAATAACGTTAACAAATATGAGGGTTTTATATATTCAATCGCGCCAGCTCCAGGCCGCAGCGCATAACTTACTCGCGGCGTCGCGGGCTGATTCCGGCTCGCATGCGGCAGCGCCTGCTCGCTCGGCCGCCGCATCTGGCTCGATTGACTCGGACTGGAATTGGGTAGTGAGTCCAGGCATCCGGAGTAGGTCCAGCAGAGGTAACATTAGTCAGTCTGAGCTCTAAGAGATAAGTCTCCGGCAGGCGAGAATCTAGCCGGAACTGTGTTTTGCTATCTGGGTGGCTAGGCGTGTATCAGCAAACTAATAAAGCCCGAAAAAAGCCCTGAACTTAGCGAATAAACAGTGTTCCACCAGGATCATGTATGTCAGAAACTATAGTTTACTGCTGAACTCATTTTGTCATAGTAAAATAACACAGAAATCGAATAATAACACTTCAGTCTACTTCAGTCTCCTGCCGAAGCTCAGAAGCCGCGCTTTGAGAAACTGTCAATCACAGCTGTCAATCACGATGACACGCCCAGCATTAAATTACTGCTAAAAACAAACTGTTTACAAAAATGAAGATCTGCACCTATTTCAGCACAATAACCAGTGCCTTAATCGACCAGAACTATCTTTCGGGACATTTTATTGCAAGTGTAATATATTTTTTTATTTGGGCTCAAGTCTCCATCATTAACACGGAGGAGGCGGGCTTTATGACTTGTACTGCAGCCAACCCCCAGGGGGCGATCTAACGGCCGAAACCTTCACTCGAACGTAGGCTTGCGGCACACTTGGGCCAACCCTGTTCCTGGAGAGCCACCTTCCTGCAGATTACAGTTGCAACCCATATCAAACACACCTGCCTGTAATTACCACGTGGTGTTCAGGTCCTATTTAATTGGTTCAGGTGTGTTTGATATGGGTAGCAACTGAAATCTGCAGGAAGGTGGCTCTCCAGGAACAGGGTTGGCCTCCCTGATATAGAGCAAAAAGTTGCAATTGTTACAAATTTAGGATCTATCTACAAGTAAAAAAAAATGTGCTATTAATCCTTTTGTGCTTGGTCCATGGGTCGTGATTTGCAGTCGGTTGCGTCCATACTGAAAACTATACCCATTCTATGTAGAAAATCCCACCAATCAGAGAGCCAAAATAGATACTAGCTCCACCTACTCCCACGAAGCACCGCAGATAATGTAATCAAGTTGAAATACTAACACTTGTATATGGGGATTTCAGCGCAAACTTGAAGTGTATTTATTATTGTAGGTTTAAAATTAATTTCTTATTGTAACTATAAATTAGCATTATTCTTTTTTTTTTGACATTCCCAATGCTTCATGGGATTGTAGTTTTTCCCCCTCGTTATTGCTGTAAAGCACACAGTTTTACATTTTTACAAATGATTTAAATTGTAATGCTCAGCGATTGTGATGTTGTGATACTCCTCCTAGCTCATTTGTGTGTTTTTTCATGGCTTATAGCAAATAAGATGCTTTTCAAATCTCTTTTGGGAAAAATTAAACTTTAATTTCTGGAACTTGCTGCTGTAAAAGCTGTTCAGTGCTAATGATCTGCGTTTATGAGAGACTACAATTTTTATGCATATTTTTGCTGATAACTATATTAGTTCAGCCACTATTGATCCTCAAATTGACAAGGGTAAAGGTAGATCTGCTTGTCATGAACCTGTTAACACTGTAACTGGACGACTATTAGACCAAACACATGTTTTGCAGTCAATCGATGACTCTTAGCAGCATATTCAGATGAAGAAAGACAAATTATATACAGTTGAAAGCAAAAATACTGGCCCTTCTGTGATATTTGTTACTCTTTAAAAAAAATTCCCAAGTGCTATTAAACAATATTTCTCCAAGGTTGTTGTTCTAATAACTAATTTCTTTGTCTTTGCCATGATGACACAACATTTATTAATTATTTTGCAAGATATTAGTATTAAGTGCTCGTTGCAGGATACATAATGTCAGCTTGCACTAGGGATGCCACGATCTCAAATATAATATTGAACCGTACAGTACGACCTCCAAGGTTCAATATGCGCTTGTGAATTGCGGTTTTCTCGGTTTTGCGTTTAAATAATTTATGTGCGTTTTTTATCTCCCCGAATTGACTGTGTGTGCCTGTAAGTACATGAGCTGAGATGAGGAAACTCCTCCCAGCGATTAAATATCCAATCACTGTGCTCTAAAGTTAGGGGGTGCTTGACCATCATGCCACACTTTAACATTGTGAGCGGCGATGAAGTGAGGCAACAGTACGAGAAAGCGCCGGCCTCTTTCAAATCTGCGATGTGAGGACATTTCGGTTTTGCCGGTAAGTATAATGCCAATAAAAGAAAAAACGACGAACAAAAAATAACTGTTCAAGCATTGTTTTACACATATAACCATGACTGCACATCTGCAGCGCATCACCCAGCAATATCACTGTCTGAAGGCAGAATAGCAGAGAAGGCAATAAAGTCCTCCTAATAGCAACAATCCCTCGCTGAATCTTTCCAACAAACATACTCAACTGGTTCTGAGAGACACATAAAATAACAAAGGCAGTGCGGCTGTTTATTGATAAAGATTTGCAGCCGTTTTATGTTATGGGAGATGCGGGCTTTTGTCATCTTATAAAAGCACTCGATCTGCGTTACAGACTACAGTCTCGCAATTTTTCCAGCACCGAGATAATAAAGATGGTTTATTTATGTTTACTGAAGTACAAATATGTTTATTCGAAATGGCCAATTCATCTTTATTAACTTTACATGTGTGTTTATTTTCAAAGTGTAGGATTTCATGTGTTCACCAGTTTGTACATGGAGGCTACCAGCAGCTGTGAGATTTTAGTGTTCATTTTTTTTTAGGAACTACTCTACTTTTCCTTGGCTTTTAAAGGGCACCTAGGTTACCCCTTTTTTCAGATTTAATATAAGTCTTTTGCGTCTCTAGAATGTGTAAATAAAGTTTCAGATCAAAATACCCATCAGATTTTTCATTATACCTTTTACAAGATGCTGTTTTATACTGATTTCCAGCAGGGGGAGGTTTTGTCGTACTGCGCCTTTAAGACGAGTCTTTCCCGCCCACTATTTCTACATGCCTCCTCCCTCAGCTGCATCAAACAACAGACAGACTTAAAGGAAGAAGGTCTCACGTAGCGTTTGTGAGATACTACAGTAAGAAGTAACCTTTACTAATCAGTATTGTGAAGTTGCATTGATGAGTCACACACAATATCGTTACAAAGTTAACGTGCGCGCCCGCGCACACACACACCGCAGATGACACACACACAAACACCGCAGATGACACACACACACACGCAGGCAGGCAGACAGACAAAACGCGCTTAGCCTAGTTAAGGCTAACCTCAAGTGTGGATATCTGTTATGCTAATGTACAAAATAAACCTGATTTAACCTCCACAAACCGGGATTGAAGCGTCTTCTTTTATAATTGTTCTGACACACGGCTGTGCTGATGAAGTAAAGCTGAAGTAAAACGCTGTAATTAATTACACACATACTCTGTTTTAAAACACTTTAAACATGTGAAACTTACTCTTAATCACATTTGATGATGATTGCTGATCCTAGCGAACAGAACAGAGCTTTTATTCCCGGTTGCTTTGCGTATGTCTGCCTGGTCTTGTTGACATATACACACGACTACCGGAACATGTTAATGCGCGCAGCTGTCAATCAATTCGGTGGGTGGGGGGATCGCACACCTACGTAATGGTGCGATCGATTTGAAAACGGCTCCAATTGGCCGACCCTTTTTTTTGTAGTTTAATTGAAAAAAGAGCACTGGGTGTGTTCATATCACCCCAGTATGACGGTCTATACACTATACCAACACACAGATCTGTCCAAACAGCTTGAAAAGTAGATTTTTTTACCATAGGTGCCCTTTAAGTAAAAAAAAAAGATAATTGCAATAAATCGTTTTTATTTTTTTTCTCCTTTTCCTATTGCCTATAAAAAAAATTTTAAAAACACACGTGTCAAGCCATGAGAACCGAACCGAAAACCGTGTTAAAAAAACGTGGTATGTATTAAACCGTGGGCTAACTGTATTGTTGCATCCCTAGCGTGCAGACTGTTTTCTCCTTTCTCATTGGTCAAAACGGCTGGGTTCACATCAAATGCAGAAGATGCAAATGAGGCTAATTGATATATGACTATTGCGAATGATCCCATTATGATATCGATGCTGAAACGATAAATTGTGCAGCCCTAACCCACATATAAAATAAACTGTTGTAATTTATAGTAAATACTATAATGTTTATATTTATCATGCTTACACTGACACCTCTAATAGAAATTGACTGAGCTAAAATGTTGCTGACATTGGTTATCGTATATGGGTGTGTGTATGTGTGTGTGTGTGTATATATATATATATATATATATATATATATTATCCCTTTAAAAGCATATAAAATGGCATTATCTTTCTGCTTGCTTCCTAAAAGCAGGCACTCAGTTATAATGTAATGGCCGCTGTGAAACAGGAAATGGTTATGAAGGGGACTTCCTGACGTGTAAATATCTTTGTATTTGTGTGCATTCGCAGGTGTGATCGAAGCAGATCTTAAGATGCTGCTGTCTTTGGGGATGCTGATGCTGTCCGCCACACAGATTTACACCATCTTCACGGTTCAGATCTTTGCCTTTCTCAATCTTCTGCCCGTGGAGGCCGATATATCAGCTGTAAGTCCCTGAAGACGTGACTGTATATTGATGTGCAGCATTTAAAACACTTGCTTGGACCGTAAATGTAGGGTTGTGGTTGTTTTTCAGTACTCCTTTGACAACAAGACGGAGAACTTTGATGACTTGCCGGCTCGGTTTGGCTATAGGCTGCCCAGCGAAGGACTGAAGGTGAGTTGATTGACTTATATTACTAAAACCTAATGGCAGATTGGAAACAAATGATCATAATTGGTAGCATAATGTATCACAGTTTAAAGGATCTCCAGTTGTGGTAGGAGCACTTTTAGCTTAGCTTAGCATAAATCATTGAATCGGATTAGACCATTAGCATCTCACTAAAATATGATTAAAGAGTTTAGATGTTTCTATTTAGAGCTTCACTCTTTTGTAGTTACATTGTGTACTTAGACACACGAAAAACTGCTATTGTCACAGCAGATATGGGAACTAACTATTAGAACTAATTTATGGCATAATAAGAAACAACATACTTTTCTGCCACACCATTCCGGCTGATAATACACAGCATCTAAGAATAGTCTCCAACTAGCTAACAAAGCTGCCTAATATAAAAATAGAATTTTTTTTCTTTTTACATGTTTTTGAGTGGGATGCTAATGGTCTAATCCGATTTAATGATGTATGCTAAGCTAAGCTAAAAGTGCTCCCACTAGAATAGATTCAAAAATGCTAAAACCCAACTCTTCAACTCTAGGGCAGTTGTAAAATTATTCTATTCACATCCACTCCATAAAGGGATTTAAGGAGCAGTTCACAGCCATCAGAACAAAATGCAGGATATACAGATTAAAAATGTAGTCAGCACCACCCTGAAGAAGCCTACAGTCTGTTTAAATGGATCTTTTGTTAGTTTAACATGTATATTGTGAAATTTGCTTTGTTTGTTCGTAATGAGGCAATAACTTTTAACAGATTCAAGAATCTGCGTATTTTGTGAAACGATGATGTCATCAGCTTAAATCTTGACTCACTGTTGCATTGTGTACACTCACCGGCCACTTTATTAGGTACACCTGTCCAACTGCCCGTTAACGCAAATTTCTAATCAGCCAAGCACCTGGCAGCAACTCAATGCATTTATGCATGTAGACATGGTCAAGACGATCTGCTGCAGTTCAAACCGAGCACCAGAATGAATGAAGAAAGGCATTTAAGTGACTTTGAATGTGCCGTGGTTGTTGGTGCCAGACGGGCTGGTCTGGGTATTTCAGAAACTGCTGATCAACTGTGTTTGTCACACACAACCATCTCTAGGGTTTACAGAAAATGGTCAGACAAAGAGGAAATATCCAGTGAACGGCAGGTCTGTGTGTGCAAATGCCTTGCTGATGCCAGAGGAGGAGCAAGAGGAGAATGGCCAGTCTGGTTCCAGCTGATAGAAAGGCATCAGTAACTCAAATAAGCACTCATTACAACCGAGGTCTGCAGAAGAGCATCTCTGAACGTCCAACCTTGAGGCGGATGGGCTACAGCAGCAGAAGACCACACCGGGTGCCACTGCAGACTCACCAAAACTGGACAATAGACGATTAAAGAAATGTTGCCTGGTCTGATGAGTCTCCATTTCAACAACATGAAAGCATGGATCCATCCTGCCTTTTATCAACAGTTCAGGCTGGTGTTGGTGGTTTAATGGTGTGGGGGATATTTTCTTGGCACACTTCGGGCCCATTATTACCAATTGAGCGTCGTGTCAACGCCACAGCCTACTGTACCTTTTTTATTGCTGCTGACCATGTCCATCCCTTTATGACCACAGTATACCCATCTTCTGATGGCTACTTCCAGCAGGATAACACGCCATGTCATAAAGCGTGAATCATCTCAGACTGGTTTCTTGAACATGACAATGAGTTCACTGCACTCAAATGGCCTCCACAGTCGCAAGAACTCAATCCAATAGAGCACCTTTGGGATGTGGTGGAACAATATGGAGCAAAGTCTCTGAGTAATATATTTCCAGTACCTTGTTGAATCTACGCCATGAATGATTAAAGCAGTTCTGAAGGCAAAAGGGGGTCCAACCCGGTACTAGTAGGGTGTACCTAATAAAGTGGCCGGTGAGTATGTAACCGCAAGAAAAACAACAACAGCCTACTGAGGTTAACAACTGTACTCAAAACCATTCGCCATGTTCATCTTGGGTTGGTTTGTATGTAATACGATAATTACATCACCTTATGCTGGTCTGCCATGTTTACTGCAACGGTTTTAGTCTGTATCAGTGTTTTTGTGTGTGCGCAGCTATTTTTTAGATAAAGCAACAACAACAGCAGAAAAGATTGCATAGGGAAAGCTTTAGCTTTGTGTCTATGTAACCTTAGTCCTCATCAAACACAAGAACGTTTGTTATAACATGTGCGACAGCAAATATACTGGAGTTTATTATTGAAAGCAGTGAGTTTGTGACCATAGTGTGCGTTTCCGGCTTTATTTGGGCTTTCTTTTTACCTGCTGACAATGAAAAAGCACTTACATGCTGGAGAAAGATCTGACAGAGCATATTTACGGAGAGTAATGTGCAAGACACATTTGAACCGGACTGAAAAGTCAGAAGGAATCTGGTGAAATGAATTTCCAGGAGGACAAGCGTCTGCCGATGCCTATTTTTATCTTTTATTGCAGCCGAAGCTAAATGGGTCCTATTATGCCATTTCTTTTATAAGATGTGATATAACTCTCCGATGCCTCCTAGCATGTGTCTCTGTGAATTATAAAATAACAAAATATCTTGTGGATTATTTATAATAGGGTGTTTTAGATGTCTACTTTAAAGGTTGAGACCTGCTTGTGATTTCTACATCAATGCTAATAACGTCAAACCAAGAATGATTACTGTAGCATTAGCTGTATTAGCACACTAGCGGATGATAATGTTCTGATTATTATCAGGGCGAGCTGCAGATATGTTGTTTGCTTCACATCGGTGGGCAAATGTTTTTAATCTCCATTAGTTGGGATTGTACTATGGTGCTGTTAAACACTTGATTCTGATTGGCTGATGAACAATTTTAGCTGCGCACTTTATTGTTTAAGCTATTTCACAGCTACAGCAGTCAACAGTCACATCAAAACACAACTGAAGGCGCTAGATGTGGTGTTTAGGAAACTATCGCTACACACAGGAGCAGTATGAGGATAAAAACCTGACAAATGTCTAAAATACAACATCTGAACAGTAGATTTAGCTGTGGGAATTGTAGTATAGGCAGAACAACAGACTATGGTCCATAGATATATGCTATTTATTGTATTTTTTTTTATATATAGTTATTTTTTCGGGGGTTTTTCACCTTTAATGCATAAGACAGTAGAGATTATTGACAGGAAAGCATGGGGAGCAGAGAGAGGGGAAGGATTGGCATTGGACCGCGAGGCGGTAATCAAACTCGGGTCGCCGTGAGCACTGGAGGGCATGTGTCGACGCACTAACCACTACACCACTGGGCTCTGATGACCGTCTGTTGAGCAAATGCGAATATTAGATTCTTGTGGTTACATACACTCACCGGCCACTTTATTAGGTACAACTTACTAGTACCAGGTCAGACCCCCTTTTGCCTTCAGGACTGCCTTAATTCTACGTGGCAAAGATTCAACAAGGTACTAAAAATATTCCTCAGAGACTTTGCTCCATATTGACATGACAGCATCACACAGTTGCTGCAGATTTGTCGGCTGCACATCCATGATGTCAATCTTATGTTCCACCACATCCCAAAGGTGCTCTATTGGATTGGGATCTGGTGACTGTGGAGGCCATTTGAGTGCAGTGAACTCATTTTCATGTTCATGGCTGGAAGTAGCCATGGAGACACTATGATTATAAAGGGATAGACATGGTCAGCAGCAATTTGACCAAAGTTATACAGTTTAAAAGATAAAGAAATACCAAGGAAATGTGTGTAAACTTTTGACTGTCTAGAAATAATAAAAAAATCTCTAAAAAATTAAATTCTCTCATTACTCTCACATTTAGCAAATGTAAATCGTTTAGGTCAGGGATGTCAAACTCAATTCCTGGAGGGCCGAAGCCCTGCACAGTTTAGTTCCAACCCTGCTCCAACACACTTACCTGTAGGTTTCAAACAAGCCTAAAGGACTCAATTAGTTTGATCAGGTGTGTTTAATCAGGGTTGGAACTAAACTGTGCAGAGCTGCGGCCCTTTTGGAACTGAGTTTGACACCTGTGGTTTAGGTAATCATAACGGACCTAAGATAGTAAACATTTATTATGATTTAACAACAGACACAAAAATGGTTATGTTCCTTTTCTTTTAGAGTGTATGTAAACTTCTGGATTCAACTGTAAATCCACTAGTCCTGTTTTTTAATTTGCCTAATTAGTGTCTTACTCATTTTAGGAAGAGGGCAACATGGAGATGGCTGTCTGTCTATATGTTGCGATATAGCACAATTAAAACCCCCGCCCAACAAAAGGATTCCTTGGCTCTGTTGTAGTATAGTTTTAAAAATGTGTTTGATCAAATTTGGATCGTCTTCATTTGGGGCATAGACATTCATAAGTGAAATCTCCAAACCATCAATTTTACCATTTACTAGAATATATCTACCTTCGCTGTCTTTATGAACAGTAGTAGACGTGAAGCATAGACCTCTATGGATTAAGACGCAGACTCTTCTTTCAGCCCAGTTTGGTGTTAATTTCGTGTTTCTGTTCATCTGAACCTCACCAAACCTCGTGATGCGTCGGTGAAAACTGTCAAAATCACATTACTTCACATCTGTGTCACTTCTCCTTTTCTCTCCGATCAGCTTTTTAAAAGCCGTCCACCAGCTTTTCTTTTTTTTTTTTATTTCATGTTTATTGTGAACAATCAATTGAGTACAATCATACAGCATTTCAAGGTGCATTGGTATCTCAATATGTGACCCTAAGTGGTATAAAGATTACGTACATTATTGTCAGGTGTACTCACTACACAGTAGTACTCAAATTTTGTGAATTTTAAAATAAAAAGCAGCATAAAGAGAAGAAAAAAAATTTAATAAAATAATGTAAATAAATAAAAAATAATAATAAATAAATAAAATATAATAATTAAAAATAAATAGAAATTAAAGCACTATTTACATCCAGGGTAAGAACGCTTGCCATAATATAATTCCTTCCAGAACAATCTCAA